AGATGAAAATCTTAAAATTTAATTAGCCAACTGCCAGCTGGCATGGCTGCAAACAATGTCGGGTCGCCAGTGTTTGCTTTGAGAAATCGCTCATACGCAATGTCTGCCCAGAGCTGGCATGTCAATGTCAACAGAGCGCAGCAGATAATTATGTTCTGTGCCGGCGGCCAAGCTGCCAAGCTGCCTCTGCCCTGCTCCGAATAGGAAAGCGTCTTAAGAGCTTACAGAGGGTCGGGTCGCACTCTAGTACCATTTCCTTGCTTTTAATTGCGTTGCCCTTACATTTGACCCAGATGCAAAAAGAGTCCAAATGCATCGTGATTTGTTTCAGCTTCCTTTAGCAACTGCAGCTTTAATTCATTTTTATAACGTGGCAGCAAAGCTCAGTGAAAGTAGAAGAAGTTTAATTCAATTCGAGAAACGTTTGCCATTGAGCCAGCCAGCAAATCAAATGCCACAAGTACGGGCACATGCCAAAAGCCTCAATCAAAGCTTATTAGTCGCGTTGTGCGCAGCTGTTTGTTTTTGCCGCATCCTGCTGAATTATTCACGAGTCCCGGCCAGGACACTCATTTGCATTTCTCCAATTTGCCACCTGCCATCGAGGTCTTCTAATTTTAGGGCTCTGTAAATTTGCATGCCATTTATTGACGACTGGATTTGTGCGGATCGCCAAGCTGTCAATCTAAACACGCTTATTTGCATTGTTTTGCCGCTTTTTCGCATTTTTGAATGGAATAAAAGTGTCATTCCTGTCAGTGAAGGGAAAAAAACACTTGATGTTGCTTTTCTCTATACCATCACACTTTAATGCTATCGTTCGGGTTTCGATTTCAGCAGTCTGCACAAGTGATTTTCGCTTGCAGCAATAATTTATGCAAACACAATAGTGCAGTAACAAGCCCAACCATTATTGATTGATTAATTAATAGGAATGGGAGAGGGTTTGCGATGGAGCTGCCATTTTTCCTAATTAGCGACGTTGCACTGCGAATCGCGAACAAATTTATCACATTGTAACCCGACTGCTATCTATATTATGTGTATGCCAGTAGTTATTAACGGCTAATGCCACTAGAAAAATTGGCCAGCTTCTGATAAAGTGACTGCGCCTGCCCTTGATAAACGGCTGCTGCTGACGTCGGTTAACTTAACCGGGCCATTGACTAACTGAGCGGATAAATTGATGAATGGTTTTTCCTCGACCGTTCAAAAAGCGGATACAAATGAAATGCGAATGTTGCGTAATGTATTTCATCTGAGATCAGTTCGTATATGCTCTTGCTCACTTTTCACATGAGTTGGGTGACAAATAATGAGGGATGTTTCCAGAAATTCATAAAATTCTTAATAAGAAAAGCATCTACCTTGTAATGTGATGGTATGCAGCTGTATGCAATAAACGCAACACTCCTTTGAACGGTGTTAAGCCGATTATTTAAAATATACCTAATACTTGTTAAGCTTAAAGAGTAAACCAAAAATGTGTATAGCTTACATAGCTATTTTTATAAAGCTTTCATTGCTCAAAGTATATGCAGCTTTCGGAATTTGGAGTATGAAAATGCTAATGCATGCTAATAATAAATTCTCTTTTCTTCTGCTATACATATATTAATATGGTTGCAATGCCTAAATAAATAAATATTTTATAAGCTCTTAAAGGGAATTTAAAAAGCAATTTTGCTTGCTCAACTTGTTGAATGCCCACCACAGTGTGTACTGCTGCCGGCTGACCGAACAAGAATTCGATTAAGGTAAACAAAGAGAGCTGTATTAACAAGTTAAAGTCCCCATTGTGTGCATACTTTGAGCTCCAAAGCACACAAACGCCCATCCACTCATCCGCCCACTGTTGTGTGCTATTTATGCAGCCCCTGTGAAATATCTGCGGCATAAATACATGGTCGTGCATATCTGGAAGCTGTCAGTGTCATGCACAGCGCTGCTGCTGATATTTTAGCTTTTTCAGCGAGTTTTTCACTCACCTTTCGTGCATTGGCGCGGGCCGAGTGAAAATCCATAAATTTCTGATGTTGACGGTCCTGGAGAGATGACGTGCCACGGTTCAGGCGACCTATGGTGGCCATTATCCAGCGGCGAGCGCCCACATTCCGACTAGTGAGTGATGTAACTACACAGCTGTTGTTCCTTTGGCAGACAAAAAGTACGGAGGCTGTCGAGCAACAAGTGGCGTAGATGTCAACGGCTTCTCGTTAGTAAATTTGCTATTTAAATGCGGCAGCCAACTAATTATAGACACCATTTTGGCAGGCTAAGAGTGAGCGAGCCATTGCTGCCATACGCAAAAAAATGAAACGTGTGGGCGCTGTTGAGCTTAAATAACTCACACACTGAGACAAAAAGGGGTGGTGAACAGCTGCCATTTTGTGTACGGCTTCTGGCGCTGTCCTTACTTTATTTTAGCCACACCGTCTGCCAGCCCCGTTATCACCCAATGTGTCACATTATATTTATAATGGCAAGCCATACGCACACATCCCTGGACAGACACAATGGCAGCTATATTGCTACATTAGATGTCGTGCTTTGTTGCTCTTAATATTTGTGTTCTGCTCCTCCCACATACTATATATGTACATCGTACATGCATATATCCCTCGCTGGAGGTTTTGTTTTTACTTTTACTTTTACTTATACTTTCACTTGCTTCCCACTGTCAAGCTCCATATGTTGTGTTTATGAAGAAGAATCCGCAAATTATGCGGGGATATCTAAAAATATGCAAGCAATTTAGCGGCATGTGGTCGGCCAGATTAGTTAATTCGCTGCCATTGTTCATGTGGGCGCTCAAAATCGCCCACTGTACGTATACGCAATGCTATCGTTATCTACATTTTCGCGTTCGCTGTTTTTCTCCGTGAGCAACATGCTTAGGAAGTCCATTAAACTGGCATTGGCCAAACAGCCAGTTGGCCAGCTGTTGCAATACCCATTGAGTAATTTACACACGAATTAACAGGGCATAAAAATAGCCAAACTGCCCCGTCCACCCACTTTTCGCATTGTCAAACTGTCGACGAACTGTGATTGACAGCAGTCAACGGATTGATGGCCCTCGAACTTCGCGGCTTGTCTGTGTTGTTTCCCTGCTTACTTATGCGCGGCACTTGGCGCCTAAGTAAACCAGTGGTGTCCCATTTGCACCCTCACCCCATCTCCAGTCGTCCAGTTTCGGCGGTGAAGGGTGGAGCCCTTTATTGACTGGTGGTGCCGTGGCAGTCGCTGACGTGGCTGGCTAGGAATTTATCAATTTGTGACATAAAGTCTGTAAATGAAAACCGAATTCGAGTCAAACAATTTGGGGAATATTTGTGAAAGATGTATACAGAGAAATCGGGATATTTTTTCATATCTTAATGCAGAAAAAAAGTAAAGGCCTCAAATAATAATTCATGAAAAGTCTTTGAACTTTTGGTTTATAGTTTTAAACTAAATCTTCTTAGCCGAACTGAAATTTTTTATCTAAAACAGATAAATTAACTTAATTAAAATAAATAAAATTACACAATACAAAATTGTTCAGTGTAGCTGTTATTAATACTTGAAAATTATTAAACACTTTCAACGCCTACACAAAATTACGCATTTTCGGCTGATCAAAGAACATTCCGCCATTCCTTCGACCCGTTTTGTCGACCCTGGCCAAAGTTTTGAGGCCGAATTGAAAATGTTCAGACAGCGGTCAGAGAAGCCATAAACGACATAGCAGGCAAACCAGTAGAAAGCATCTTTCCTTATACATATTTAATTTTAATGCTGCTGCGAAACAGGAGAGAATCCTTAAAACGGCCGCGTTGGCGGGTTTTGCATAAGCCCACGTTGATGGGTTGCAAGACCTTTGTTTAGTCACTCGATGGAAAGGTTTATACAATTAACCACGTGTGCTTAGCACTCCTTCCGCAAAGCTTTTCAAGCCTGCATTCTTTTCATTTTCATTTGGTTAATGAGTGGAGTTATAAGAATAGATTCACAGTCCGCTGGTTCCTGGCAAATTGATGGCATTGTCATCGCCAATAGCATTAATATTAATGCTCCGTTATTGAGGCGCTTTTACACGAATTATGAATTGATAGCAGAAGCACTCAACGCCGCACAGCTCCTAATTAATCACGATGTAAGCCTGAATTATGCAGGACGTCAGTCGCTCGTCCAAAAAGGCGATAGCTAAACGATGCCCAGCAGCTGGTCGAGTGTCCAATAACTTAGAGATGAGCAACATGTTGCAGGCGGATCAAAGAACGCACACTGGGAGAATCCAAGTGGATAATCAATGGTCTGCTTCCTTTTTTTTAATTTTATAAGGTTTGGTTTTTAGGTATTTTAACAGGACTTAATCAGCATAAATGTTTATTTCTATTGTGTTAAAATTAGTCTGGATAAAGGAACTCTTGCTACTTTTTAAATATAAATGTGTCAGAATTTTGCAATTGTTGAGTATGCAAAATTTATTCGCGAGGTTTCCCTTCAGACTCCGAGTCAAAAATATTGACTTAAGATGATTTTTAAGTGTAGACCAAAAATAGTGGACCATTCCCAAGGGCGGCCTGCCATTGGCCAAGTGAAAGTGGGTTCGGCCCGAAGGCCCGGCACGTATCCTGTGGAAACTCGAGATGCCTTTCACTGAAATTGCAGTGGGGAAAAACGGAAAATTACTGGCTTGGTCTTGGCCAAGCTACTGGCACTCAATTTACCAAAGCCAATTAACGATGATGATGTTGGAGTTGCTGCTCCTGCTCTTGCTCCTGCTCCTGCTTCTGTTGCAGCGCATGATGATTATGACTGGCAATTTAGAGCACAATTATGGGCACACACACTATAAGAGAATGTGTGAGGAATAGCTGGGGCCAAACTCAATTAGAGCGCAATTACGGGTAACGCTTCTAGGCGCAAAACAAGCAGGGCATTAATGTGTTTTCCTCAATTAAAATGCCACAGCATCTAATGAAATGTTGCCTTACACTCTGGACTCTTTACAGCTGGTCGGCGCCGACGGACACGAGTATCATTTCAAGCACCGGACCCTGCCCCACGCCCGTTCCAGGAGGAGTCTGACGCACACACGGGCCCTCAAGAGCCATCCAGCGGTGAGTAGGTGGCAATGCCGTGAATTCCTCTCAAGGCCGAAAGGGAAACTGCACACAGCCTGCCACACTTATTGCTAGTTCACGCGAAAATAAGGTAGAAACGTGCTCAATGCATCGGAATGCATACAGACAGGAAATTAAATATTCATTGGGTACTTTGAAAAATGTTCACAAACTGTTTCCTTACAATTCGAAGGTCAGCATGATTTGTTTGTAAAGTATTTCAAGTCTTAATAATAATTATCATAGTTAGTCAATAATTGGTATAATGAGAAAGTGAATTTATAAAGTGCATTAAAGGAATTTTTGAATTATTAATTTACCGTAATTGCTTACTAAAAATTCCTATTATTTAGTAAAAATATTTAAGTACAGTTGTTTTCTTTTTCTCCTGGATAGATAGTTTTTAACTATCCAGTAAGATACGTTTTCTGAGCTTAAAGCCCACTTAGTTTAGACTATTTTGTTAAGAATTAAGCCAGGAAAATAAGGATTATATTTTTAAACAGATAACTTTATGCTCGGTGTAAGTAGGTTGGCACTTAACATTGTTTGTTGCTCGTACAAATGCCAAATGCCAGAGTTCATGCCCCAAGTTCCCAAAATTGTTTGCACCGGACATTGATTATCGTTCTGCATAACGGACATCGATTGCATTGCGATTGGATGTGCATTTGTCCATTTGTCCACCGGACTGGAACGTGCCAGCGGGCCATTGTCGGTAATCGGCGTGCCAAATGCAAAATACAAACAGAGGGTGCACTGGGCAGGACAATATGGAAATTGGCATGGAAACTAGGTCGTTTCGTTCTTGTTCGCAGCTGTTTGTACAGCTTTAGAGTGACAGCCACACACGCATAGCAATGACCCGCATGCTAGGCACTTACATAGAGTTCGGCCTCTATGACAAATGGGCCCCAACCCCTTTGTGGTTACCATTCCGACCTTAACACTAATGGAATACCCATTCTGTAGGTGCACACGGCCGTGCAACAGCCGGGATTCAAGCGGGTTAAACGGGGTCTGCGGCCGGCAGTGCCCGCCATTCACGGCATGAAGTTCGACCTGAAAGTGGGCGAGGCCAACCGGATTGAGGAGGAGCCTACCGACCCGTACTTCCCCATGCAGTGGTACCTAAAAAACACCGGACAGAACGGCGGCAAGGTGCGGCTTGATCTGAACGTGCAGGCCGCCTGGGCCCAGGGCATAACCGGGAAGAACGTGACGACGGCCATCATGGACGATGGTGAGTATTTTAATTTCGGAATGGCCACATGAAATCCAATCGACTGGTTTATCAACTTTTCATTTTATTTCATTTGCTGGCCAGGCGTGGACTACATGCATCCGGATCTGAAATTTAATTATGTGAGTACTGCGAACCCCACACACGAAAAGCTGGAAACCATTTCAATTAACTCTGACCGTTGCGAGCTTTTAATTAAATTCTGGATTACTGCACATATCAGTCGCAAATGTGGAGATATTCATAGCCAACAATTGCTGGATTGAGGTTTTATATATATACGATTTAATTTAGCCTCTGAGCTTCTCAACAACAGACTGTTGAAACCCTAATGGGAATAAAAAGTTTGCGGGAAATTGAAGCTGAAAGCGTAAACTTTTCCTGACATTAAAACTTTCCACCATCATTATTGTCAAAGTGGCTCACTGCCATGCAAATTTAATCAGCTCTACCGAATGGTCTAGAGACTAGCAGAAACCAAATATACATGCTACGAAATAAATTGAACAATTTTCCCCAAAGCTTACCGCACACTCTGTTCACATGTGTAGCCGATTTTTATACGGATTCACCTACTCTTTTTCAGAACGCCGAGGCCAGCTATGACTTTAGCAGTAACGATCCCTTTCCGTATCCCCGGTACACCGACGACTGGTTCAACAGGTAAGCGCATTCCCTTGGCCAGGATTCGCAGAAAATGCCCTTGCTAGCAAACTGGAATTCATGATTTAACTGGAATTTAGAAGCTGCCCTTTCTTCTGTTCTGCACAGCAAACTTTTAGTAATTGAAATTCAGTTGTGGCATTAAGAGCTATTTGCTGTTGAGACCCGAGAATTTCATTCATTAAGCACCTTCGCTGCTCAATTGCTAGTTTGTTTGCTGTGCGTCGGCTAATAAAACGCACTGCTTAATGGATGGAAAATCGTCTGTAAATGTTTAACCCCCACTGTCTTTTGCAGCCATGGAACTCGCTGTGCCGGCGAGGTGGCTGCTGCCAGAGATAATGGAATTTGCGGCGTTGGCGTTGCTTATGACAGCAAAATCGCAGGTAAGTGGCTTTGGTAAATCCCTCTGAATAAATATATATGCGTTTACGCGAGGTCCTGACCTTGAAAGTTTTGGGCTGATAAATCGCATTAGGCATACGCAGCGTAATCCGCGAAAAGCAGGCTGATTCAATTGGCAGCTACACATAGATATGTGCGTTATTAAAAGGAAAGTTCATGGAGCGCGTTCAGTCATTGTAAATTGTAAATTGAGTTTCCAAAAATATGTCACACGAGCTGGGGAAATTCGCGCTTTTTCCCAGGTGAATTGGAAGGCAACAAGTGTGGTCGCAAATCCGGGGCTGTTATCTGTCATTTTTATCGCCCGCCAGGGAGAAATCATGTGAAAAATCGGGAAAAATTTCGAGCAAGCACAGGCGGAGCCGGAAAATGCAGTGCAATTTTTACGATCGCCATAAAACGCCAAGTGAAAGTGGTGGGGGGCGGGGGTCGTATAAATATTGATTTATAATTTCCGCCATTAGATTTAATGCATACTTATCGCCCGCTCCGCAGGAATTCGCATGCTGGATCAGCCGTACATGACGGACCTAATCGAGGCCAACTCCATGGGCCACGAGCCGCACAAAATCCACATCTACAGTGCCTCCTGGGGTCCCACTGACGACGGCAAGACGGTCGATGGACCCCGGAACGCCACCATGCGGGCGATAGTCCAGGGCGTCAATGAGGTATGGATGAACTGGGTTCAGTCCCCGGAATTTATGGCTAATCTTTCTCGCCACCCGCAGGGTCGAAATGGCCTGGGCAACATCTACGTTTGGGCCTCCGGCGACGGCGGCGAGGAGGACGACTGCAACTGCGACGGCTACGCCGCCTCCATGTGGACCATTTCCATTAACAGTGCCATTAACGACGGCCAGAACGCCCACTACGACGAGAGCTGCAGCTCCACGCTGGCGTCCACGTTCAGCAACGGTGCCAAGGACCCCAACACGGGCGTTGCCACAACGGACCTCTACGGCAAGTGTACGACCACCCACTCGGGAACCAGTGCGGCGGCACCCGAAGCAGCGGGCGTCTTTGCCCTGGCCCTGGAGGCCAAGTGAGTAATCCTGCCCCCCCCCCTAAAATTGATACACTTTAAAGCTAGTGGACCCCAAAAAGTCTTCAACCATCCCGAATTAGGTAAAAGCGAATGCAAGCTAGTTATCCTGTTAAAGTAATCCTTGAAAGAAAAAAGATAAGAACATGCTTCGAATTGTTTTCAATTTATTAAAACCGTATTCTTAAGATTTTTTAAGTAAAGGTAAAGTAAGTAAATTACTATCTTCCATATATTATTTACTAACCATACTGCTTAGATTCTCAAACACGTTTAATTTACACCTTAATACATTGAAACCATATTTTAAAAATTAAAAACAAAAAAAAACATTTCAAAATTTTACTCTTAACTGAACCACAAATTAGCTACAATTGTGTGCTCAGTTTAATAAAATATTTGTCATCTTTTATTAAATACTGACTTTTATTGAAAAATAAATATAACATATATTGTTTGTAGCTGATCTTGCTTTTAATAAATTTCTTTAAATAAAATTATTTCAGACTAGAAATGCCATAGGTTACTTTTTGCAAAAGGTGCAAAATGCCGTATCCTTTTTGCCAGTGCACTTTTTTTTGACAATTTATGTATTTATGCTAATCCCACCTCAACCTACGCATCCTTTCAGTCCGCAGCTGACTTGGCGCGACATCCAGCATCTGACGGTGCTGACGTCGAAGCGCAACTCGCTGTTCGATGCCAAGAACCGCTTCCACTGGACAATGAACGGCGTGGGCCTGGAGTTCAACCACCTCTTCGGATTTGGCGTCCTGGATGCTGGGGCCATGGTCACGCTGTCCAAGCAGTGGCATGCAGTGCCACCTCGATACCATTGTGAGGCGGGCGAGCTTACCCAGCCACAGTGAGTAAATTGCGGACTATATCCTGGCCTAAACCAGCTTAACCTCTTGTTGCCCGCTGTTCCAGGGCCATCGTCATGGGTCGCTCGCTCTTTTGGGAGATCAAAACCGATGCCTGCAAGGGCACTGACACGGAGGTCAACTACTTGGAGCATGTCCAGGCGGTGATCTCGGCGAATGCCTCTCGACGAGGAGACCTAGAGCTGTTCCTTACATCGCCCATGGGAACCAAGTAAGTGTCTTTGTTAGAAATTAAATGAAAGTCTTACAGGGGCGTATTGAGATTCGCGTTCGGGAGTGGCCTTTAAATGATTAAATACATTTGAAACCCAAACCATTTTTAAAAAGTTTTTTATTCGCATGACTTTTTGTTGAATTTAACTAGATTTAAGCTATCATGATATTATTTTTGGCGAATTTAATCTGTTTGAAATCAATTTAATTACAAAGCATCTTAACTTGCGTATTTTCTGAGGTCATAAAATGATTATTTTTAAATCTTTTTATTACTCTTTTTTCATAAAAATATACACATAAAATTAAAGTCGATTTGTTTCCCAACAGATCAATGATTTTGTCGCGCCGCGCCAACGATGACGATCACCGCGATGGCTTCACCAAATGGCCCTTCATGACCACCCACTCGTGGGGGGAGTATCCGCAGGGCACCTGGAAACTAGAGGTAGTAAACGATCTACTCGATTTGTCCAATGTCACTAAACTAATCCTTAAACAGGCACGCTTCAACTCGCCGCAAACCCGGCACGGCAATCTGCTGGAATGGTCCTTGGTGCTCCATGGCACCAAGGAGGCGCCCTACCGCACCCTGCACCCCTCCTCGCCGCACTCCAAGCTGGCCATCGTGAAGAAGGCGCACGAGGACAAGAAGATGAAGTAGAGGGGGTCGGGTGCAGATAAACATCCGCGTAGCGACGTCCATTAGGCAGCTTGGCGTTTTATCAACGAGTTTAGTGTGAGGTTCAATAAAAGTGCTGGCTGTGTTTTATTTTGGAATAGGATTGATTGAGATTAAACAATTGATTTCATTGCGTTTTTCCTCTTTGTAATTTCGAATATTTGCCATTCGCGTTAAATCTGTCGAACTGTAAGTTCGTTTAAGCAAAGAACGTTGTTTATCGCTTTCATTTGTGTAATTAGTTTTCCTTTTTGGCGAGCTAGCGCCCAGGGTGCCACAAAAGCCATTCGATATCATTTTATTTGCGGTTTAAACTATTTCTGGAAATTGCAAAGCGCACATTTACCGAAGAAGAAAAGGAATACAAAATCCAGCACTCAACTTTATGACCTGTTGAGTGTCCCGGATAACTATGTAGTGAATGTCAATGATAAACCACAATATTAGAACAGGTATAGGAGGTATTCGAATGCGTGGCAAGGCGATAGTGCGGGAAATAGAGATATAAACAAGATTTAGAACAAAGAAGAAAAAATAAAAAAGAACCCAGGATAAACCCTATGTAAATGTGTAATATCTATATGTATACATACCCTATCTTTAACTGCGTCCTATGCCGTTAGACTCTTAATTCTATCTAGTATAAAATACAAACTAAACAAAGTATTTACATGTATTTTAAAGCTACGTCCTTTGTTTAACATACTATATACTTGTATACACTAATATACCTACATGGATATACATATGTACTTAAAGGAAACTTAGCAAAAACATAAAATGTTAATCCCATTAATGCGGAACAAATTTGTCACTTCACTTTGGTTGCAAGCCGAACTCTGCTTTTATTTCGCGACTCGTACGTGTGAAATGCATTTACATACATAGTTTTCCTTTCAGTTTCTTTCGGGGGCCAAAAAACCACAACATAGTAACATTAATGGTGTGAAACCGGATTCACAAGCGATTGTAACGTAAAACGGTGCGAGTGTTATGTAAAAACATAAACAAATGTTAAAGTACAAGTGCAGAGCCTATATTGGTGAGCAGAGAGTTTAGCACGTAACGTCAGATACAGATTCAGATTGTTTTACCTAGTCTAATAACTGAGATATAGCGCATTGTTAAAGTTTGTCGATAATGTGCGAGAGAAATGAATATAATTATATATACAGAACCATATTTGAAGTATATACATGTGTAATTATTAACCAAAAACCACATGCAGAGGTGTTGGCGGAATCTGTGGCATAACCATTATATACATACACCGAATATTTACTAAATATGCATAATTGTATGATACATATATACCAAAAGAATAAACGCAAAATGTATCTTATGTGGATGTTAAGTTGATCTTTAATGTTGTAGATACAAAGCAGTAGCTCACAGTAGATGCACCATACCACTCAAAACAATATCAATATGTGTGAATGCTCGATGTTCAGTGCATCAAACAGCGATATATAATTGCATACCTAATTTTTCTCCATAGCGCTCAATTTGCTTTTGTCTTTTGGTGCGGTTTTGCCATTTCCATGTAATTAAACAGACAGAGAATTTAATTTTGTAAATAAAAGTTAAGAAAAAACGGATTTAATGTGTTTGGTTGTGTGGGAACTTGTGACTTATGTGAATTTTCTCTGTACCATGAACAATTTTTTCCAAATATTCGAAACGGGTTTCCAACATTGCGAATATATTTTATAAGGTATTTTACAAGAATTTGGTAATTTTCTGTTTTTTTTTTTTTGAGTGCAAGTGTGTATGCTTTAAAGCTTCATTTTATGCTTTTCTACACGCGCTGCTTGTGTACAGGGAACTCTCCAAAAGTAACTTACAAGCTTTCAATAATTTCATGTTCAAACTTTCTGTACAAAGCTTATTTATACAAAGGAGTTCCTTTAGAGCTTTTTCCCATTGGACCCTGCTGGGGAATCAAATGACCACACTTTATATACGTTTTCTTTATATCAAGAACGTCAATTAATTATGAAACACTATTTTGGCCATGTCCCGGACACGCTTTCAAAATATAATTAATGAAAGCCAATTAATATGCCAGAACGAGCATGTAAAAGCTGCAGGATGTGGGGTTACGGGATTACTGCCCTGCTGAGGCTCACTATACGAAAAAATTGTATTTAATATGACGCAATATCTGGGAAATATTTAATAGCTTTTTCATTTCGTATCTATTTAATTGCCGGTGATTTATAGGTTTCCCACTCAACGTATATTCTAATATGGGCAATGCTAAATTTGCACTATTGTGTGAAAAAGGGCAACAGTTTTAATTGTTGACTCAACTAATTGCGCGATATCCGCCTAGAAGTCGGTTTCTTGGCGGGCGTGTCCTGCCGGCTTTTTGCTGCTCCGTTTGTTTGTAGCCGGAAATATTTATTAACTAGAAATTGCATAGCACAAAGGCAACAAGCAGGCCGCTGGAAGGAAGGAAATGGGCAAACATGTGACGCACCCCCAGGAGCAAATACATAAGCACACACACACACACACAGCAAGCGACGCGATGGCGTATACACAACGCAACGTGTCGAATACGTGTTGTTTTTAGGCCTTCATAAATCATCCGACTGCGGGCATATGATAAATTGTCATACTAATTGTTTTTGGCGTCCAAGACAGGCCGCGTAGAAACGTGGCCACAAGAAAAGGCAGGTCCGAGTTGTTCTCTTAGTCGTGTTCTTTAGAATATCCGGTGTGAGCCATTTTCCAGGCCATTGCTCCCTGTCAAATATCGCACATCATTTGGCATTTCAGTTTTGCAATTCAGCAATGGAGTAACTTTAAATCCCCCATAAATGCAGAGGCCTCTGGAACCATCAATCATAATTAGCAGGCGATATCATGGGCCCATCGATGGCCACGATGGTCAAGGGCGTTTGTCACAAAACAAGATAACAAAAAATGAGATGTAACTGGGAAGCTATTTGGTTACATGGTAACAAGTTTTTGATTTATGACACATTTATAGTGACAACTTGCCCGCTTTTGGGCCAGTTGGGCGTCGCCAGCGTCCTCTTTCCCAAAAACAGCTTCCCGGGAGCAACAGGTTTTGGCATTTGCCGTCGTCGTCGTCGTCGTCGTCGTCGTCGTTTCTGTTTCTGTTACTCTTGCTCTTGACCACTTTCTTTTCGCTCGGACATGTCTGCGGGACAAACAAAGTGTTTGACACTTTAATGAACTGCCAGGGGTCGCGTGTGTGAGCAGTTCATTAATATTAATGCCCCGGGTGCTCTGTTTTCGGTTTTCTGTTTTCTGTTTTCTGCTTTCTTGCTGGAACTTGTTTGCTTGCAAAATTCGTAGAGCAATGCGCTCTGGGCCAGACACAAATGTCAATTGCCGGCTATTAGCTTATATTTGGTAATTGCTCTTTAATTCAGCACCCTGTCTCGATAATTCTGTAATGTGTAGTCCCTAATTGTGTGTAATAACGGTCTGCTGACCTTTGCCCACTTTTGGGGTAGATACCACATACCAGATACCAGATACCGGCCGATCTGTTCCTTTTAATGCTGTCATGATTTGTGTTTTTGGCGCCCCACCTAATGGCCCCGATTATCTGACGGTAATAGCTGTTGCTGCCGCCCCTGGGGAATTGGTGTGTGTACCGCCTGCCGTTGCTGCTGATGTCATGATTTATTACCAGTGCCTCAAGTCCCGCGCACACGTGCCCTAAAAAAATTTTAATTAACAAAACAGTCGCACGGCCAATCACTGCGATTGGTCCTATAAATAAATCTTATCATCCTACGACTTTTGACGTTGCCAAATTGTTACTGTCATTGTTTGGCCGTAGTTCTGTTTGTCTTTTGTGCAAAGATAAACAGTAAACAAGGGCCCCATCACCAGAACAACGAACAACGAACTACGAACAACAGGAATCCCGGCAACCCAGCCGAACTGATACCTTCTTTGGCTCCGGGCAGTTTGTTTACTTACGGACACACAGCTTTTTGCGGGTGTCATTGTCAATAGGCTGATAGGTTTTTACTCCTCCTTCCCCAAAACTTCCTCCTGAAGCACCTTTCGTGGCCCCCAACTCCTGCTTGGTAACAAATTAAATGAATTCGTCGGTGCCAATGGGCAAAATGATTAAATTAGAAGAGCCTTTTGCTCGGTTTCCCCTCGAGGCGGTTCCAGGATTTCATTTGGCCTTTAACAAATTATGCATATTTATAAATGTAAACTAGCCCCTGGCCACTGGTCACTCGGAGTTGCCCACGTCCACGGCTCAGGATGATGGGCAGCCGTCGGCAGCTGTAGTCAGCCCTGATGTATGACTCCTCATTATGCGCATAAATGGACATTGTTTGGGCCTGGCCGAGAAGTCTGGCCTGTTGCTCCTGGCCATAGGTTGTCGACCAGGGCCAGCTCAGCCTGTCTGATGGAATGTTTTGGGGATTTAGGCCTATAAATCTGAACCACACAATGCCGTGCACCGAGCGGAAAACTCATAACCCTACACGTGCTCATTGAGAATGTATTTATAAGCAATCTGATATCTTTGCAAACCCTTTTTTAATTCAAACGTTTAAATAAATTGTGATTATGTCAAAGATAATGGCATATAACAGTGCCAAGAAGATATATATATCCCTAAAAAATACTTTTAAGAACTTTTTCGTATTTATGAAAGCCTCTTGCCCACTCTAATCACATCTTAAAGTTTCAGTAAATCAATTTGGCATACATTTTCAAGAACCGGTGATTGTCGTTAAGTTAAATTCATAATTTGAGATATTGTATATATAAGACGGTTAGCTATCAGAACTTTTTTCGGTGTGTATCTTTACTAGTTTGTGATGAATTCAATTGGTAGCTCGAACGTTGGTCAGACCGCCTTATCAATTAGAGCATATCGTAGGCATCACCCACACAACGACCATAAACACTCTCGAGATTTATGTGCAACAATCAGAACAATTAACCGGCCCAGAAACTGTTCAGCCGCAGGAAGTGAGACTGTGTGTGTCTATTTATTGCTAAATATTGTTTATGCATGTGTCTTGCCTGTGTACCATTCATACCTAATTAAAGGCAGTAGTTGTTGTCCAGAACCAGGAAAACCATTGCTCGGGTAAACAGAGGCAATGTGTGAAGATTTCTTGGCCAGCTTGGGAAATATTCCCTTATTGAGCTTGGCTCTTTGGCCAAATAGACAAACACTATGCAGCCACTGTTGCTGTCGATACTCAAGCGATGACTGACGATATTGATGGACTCTATGATGAGGTTAAAAGCGAGCTTTGAACTGGGTTCATAACATGCCGCAAAAAAAATGCAAAATCGCAATCGCTCGGCTAATTAATTAATTATGCACATTTTGCACAGTTGTTGTGGCGAAAAGCGGCTTTGATGTCCGACCGCTCAAACACGAGTAGTTCCGCAGATTTATGTAAGACAAGCAACGCCCTTAGGTTGCATGGTCGCCAAAACAGGTTGAGTGCCGAACCCAAGTCCCGTAACCCGAGACGGGGTTTTGTGTCAACGCTTAAAAGCTCATTTATCTCCGATTAACCATTGACTGTTGCCAATGCGCGCATGCGCAGCTCGAGAGTTGCAGCAACCGCAGATGAAACGGAAACCGATGCGATCGCGATCCCGATAGCCAAGTCAAATCAAAAAACGCTGGCACATTGCAAGCCCATCATTTGTCATATTTCCAATTTCCCATTTGGCGAGCTCGTATAAATATCATCGGAATGCAAACGATAAACGTCAGTTAGCGAGCTTAAAGAGTGGTAAACGGATCCTCAGCACTAGCCATCAAATACTCCTGCCCAAGATGCGCGGATTCCTGGTAAGTAAATAAAGTTATGGAAAAACACTAAGTGAAAGTAAAACAAAGTTATTAAATTCAGTTCGAAAGTGAAAAGTTATTAGTGTTATAAAACGTTACGAGTGTTTAAGTGATTTATGTCTTTATTTGAATAGTACAAATAGTTAATCTATTTACAGCTAAAACAAGCTTTAAATTTAAAGAGCCATGAATCTAGAATTTTTCAAAATTCGAACAACCACTGATAAAGGATTGAATATATATACTTGAAGATTATTTTAACTGAAGAGTACTAAAATTACAACTTTTTTTGTATTTATACAGATAAATATATGTTACAAGTAAAATCCATTTAAACTGCCATACTAAACAGGATTATATATAATTTATTTATAACTCTCACAGTATATTGCGTGCTAATTTGTATTATTTTCTCAACTTTCAGTTACTTTGTTTCATCGCCTCCGTTTCGGCGGCCAAGCTGGGCTACAACTACCAAGCTGCTGCCAGCGACCGACGATTTGCCGGACTCATCGATGCCGAGGCCACAGGATTCAGTTCGACACCCACGCAGCAGCAGCAGCAACTGGTGCAGCAGGAATCGCAGCAGCAGCGGCAGCAGCAGCAGCAACAGATTCCCGCTGCTGCGGATGAGTTCAGCAAGGAGTTCTTCACTTACACCGCTCCCGAGGAGGAGTTTGCGGACCGCGAGGCCACCGAGCACATTGCCAGCATGCTAAAGCGCAACCTGCGCGTACTGTTCATCAAGTCGCCGGAGCACCAGGGTCTCACCAACGCTGCCCTCCAGTTGGCCAAGCAGGCCAGTGAGCAGCGAACGGCCATCTATGTGCTCAGCAAGCAGGCGGATATTGGCCAGCTGGCCCAGCGACTGGCCACTGAGAACCAGGCCCAGAGCCACAAGCCGGAGGTGCACTTCGTCAAGTATCGCACACCCGAGGACGCGGTGCGGGCCCAGCAGCTCATCCAGCAGCAGTTCGACTCCTTGGGCGGCAGTTCCCGCAGCTCCGACGAGGGTGTGGCACCCGTGCTGGACTTTAGCTCAGCGCCCGCTGCCATTAATGTCCAGGAGCAGAATGATGCCCAGAACCAGGTCCAGGCGGTCACGCCGCTCACGAAGTATTTGCCAGCGGCACTGCTGCGCAGCAAATAGACAAAGTAAATTATGTTAATAAACTTAAGTCCTTAGTATAAATCCTAGAAATACAAGAAATGATACAGAAATTAAATGCTTTTTACTTAAAGTTTTGCAGAAGTGTAACCCATATGAGTAAACTGTCGCCTTGGTCAAAAATTGTGTTTTTTTAAATCCAAGGTAAAACCACAACTGCTTTCGAGGAATACATCAATTACCGAAACTGAAAGGTACTGTAAATATGTTAGTAAAATAGCTTATATGTCAAATTAGTTTTGACCAGCAAACAGCAGTCCTTTAAATTCAGACGTACAATTACCAAGTTGTTTTAACATTTAATTCAGATTATTATTCAGATTATTATAACATTTTTGAAAAACTATTGCTTAGTTATCTTCATTAATTTTAAATCACTAGAAAAATTGCCTAAAAAGTGTCAATTAATTATTATGCTTTAGTTCTAACCCAGTAAAAGAGAAACTCTGTGGACCAAAAACCTTAATACGACTAAACGAGCTGAATAACTGAAGTTTGCCCTTTTAGCGCTGTTAAATTGAGAAAGAAAAAGAAACTGGAATGTCATCGACAGACGCTTAACCACGAGCACTGACAGCTTTAACGTGAAACTTTAAAGGCGATTATCTTGCGAATACAATATGCAGCAAGGGGCAGGAACCAGCTGGTTTCCTCCCAGCCACTTCCTGGCCACTCAAGGACCCTCCCCCGTCGAGCATTGTTGCCGGTGGCCAGGGAGATCCTGTCATGTGCCTTACTTTTCCTTGCCCTTCTTTAGTGCGAGGACGTCGAGAACGATTCTGATTCCTATCTTGCATGTTCCTGTCATATTTCATACTTTAAGTGCCCCCGGGCAGATGGCAACCAGCCCCCATACTCATGAATAATTTATTAATATAATAATAATTTCGAGTATTGAAAACAATTTACAGTTTCCCATGCTAATGGAGGGCCCCAGGGTCAAGGATTGATAAAATATAAAAAATGTCCTGTCGTTAGGGCTAATTAGAGGGCCGTCTAGCCGCGACAGGCAGGTGAAATAGGTAAAACACATACGGCCTGGTTTGAATTTCAAATGCGTGTTTATTTATGGCCAAGACGTTTTTTTTCGACCAATTTCGCTTTAAGACACACATCCCAGGGTTTCACTCTCTGTTTATTTAGAAGGATTCAATAACAATTGCCGTGGGTCTGGCATTTGCTATATATGCGGTGGCGTAATTTCCAAGAAACGCGATATAAAAGCACTCAACAAACACTCAAAAAAGGAGCGGAGTGCTCGTAGAAATAAAATGTACGGGCTATAACATGAAGTGCGGGAAAATGTCTGCCATTTGGCCTGGTCCAATGGGCCAGCGTCTATATTGTCTATATCGGATTAAAGCGAAATTCTTATTCAATTAATACAAATGACTGCTGCAGGATGGTCAGCGCCATGGCCATAACTTGCCCAAGGGGATTGGGGAAATGGTGGAGAAATTTTGTTTCCGCTTGCTTTTGCAATTTAATTAAACAAACAGTTGGCGCTGCGGTTGAGAGCAGCGGCAGGAGCAGCAGCAGAGCACATAGCACAGTATTGGCCACGGGGAAATGTAATTTGCAGAACGACAGCAACAACTACAATCGAAAGCTGCAAAAATTGCCAAGTGTCGACGTGTTGCCGACAGCTCTAATCCTTTGTGAAAAACTGCTATCGTTTTGGGTGCTCCGAGGGGTTTTTGCCTCTCTAAATTTAATTGTCCGGGGTTGAGGTTGCCTTCTGCGCCTGTCGGTGTTGCATATCGATTATTTTTAATTGCTCTTTGACATATCCCCAGTCCGCCCTTGGGGACATCTAAACAACTAATTAGTTCACCATGTGGGTTGGGCGATTTTAAAGAGTCCCGAGGGCAAAAAATCCATTCGAAGAGTGGCATTTAAGCCAACAAAGGACAACAGGCATCCGTACGTGCAAAGCCGTTGGCGTGTCCTGTCGCCTCCGACTTTCAGTCACTGCTTATGTCGTTTATGTGCCGAAAGCCTTCCCACAGCCAGCGAAAAAAGTGAGAAATGAGCAGCGAATTGAAGGGAAACGAAAGCGGAGTGGAAACCAGAAATCGGCAGGTCGCCGCATCATTCATTTTGGGCCAGCGGAAAAGTAATGAAAAACTCACATAAAACTTGAAGTGCTCGTAAAGTGGCAATAAGTTGCGGGCAGGGGAAAAATAGTGTAGCCTACTTCCAGGCCGTGTGAATGATTTGATGACGTGGCATACGTGAAGTTCTGTTTCTATGTGTGTTCTAGCCCGTGGTTCCATCGCAGCCAATTAATCCGGCTGAAAGAAAAGACCCGACGAGGGCGTTCAAAAGAAGCGTGGCTAAAAGTCGCAGTTTAGCTCTGTTGCCGGTGTTTGGAAAAAGCAGATAGCAAAAACAATGAACATGGAAAAAAAAGTTTGTTCATCAGCCAAGGAATTTTTTTTAAATTTTCATTAAAATTAATAAAAAAAAGAGAAAGCTGAAATATAAAAAAACAATAAACTACAATAATTTAACCAAACTTTTATAGTTTTTTAAAGCAAAATTATTAAGAAGTATATCACTTAAAAATTACACTTTAATGGTTGAATTATTTGGTCGGGACTATACAACCTTATAAAAAAGTCATTTGTCTATAATTTAGGAATGTATAATTTTAATAATGTGTTTTGATAAGGTAACAATTAAAACGCCAATGAATGTTTAAACTTTTTTGCTTCTTTTAATTACAGCTTTCAGTCACCAACTACATTGCATTCCATTTAAGACGTGTGTGAAAGGGGAAATGGAATATTGACTACTTCACTGTTGGCCAGGTATCCTAGCAGGAACAAAAGCCGTTTGTGCCTATCATTATCCCTTTTGTTTTCATGCGAGAAAATTGCTGGCAAAGGGGGATTAGTATTTATATGGCCCGCCATTTGCTGGCTGATTGCCTACATGACAGTCAACCTCGAGACAATTAGCTTTTCGTGGGATTCGCTTTGGTAATGCCTTTATTCGAAAACACTGGACCCACTCATGAAATATTCACAAGTGAGGTGGCAAACGGGGATCACAATCGCCATCGAATTATCGACGACAATAGATACAGTTCGGGCGGCAAGTCAATCATAAATCGCGTCTCGCTGTGGGAGTGGTTGTGGGTTTCTGTGGCAGAGAGTGTGGCATTATGCCGTCTGGTTTGGCCTAATTTTCTTGGCAACCACTTGACTGCCGGCAATCGACAAGTCCCGAAACTCAATTGAACCGCAATTTCCAAATCGCACCCTAATATACGTAATAAACGGGGGCTAGGGCGGCTTGTAGACAGTTTCTGGCCCACAAGCCGCAATGCAAATGGGAGTGCCAGCAAGGGGGCGGCTGGGGGCGTGGCTCCGACCGCCCGCAAGGCCGAATTTAGCCCCAGACAGCGCCCAAGCGAAAGGGGAGCACAAAACGGAAATGAAACTTATTAAAAGATTTGGATCTAATCGATTTTCGTCCTTTCACGCCGGAATGAACTTTTCCGTTGCTCAGTCGACGAGCTTTTCGCTTTTAGTGCTCAGCTTTCAGCCATTAAAGTGGAGCGCCTGTCCCTCTATAACTACCCCCAACCCATTCGTTTTGCAATACCCCCCCCCCCCACTAGCGTTGACCAGCCATAAATTTAATTGAAAACCAAACTGTTCGGACTGTCTGTGACAGAGTGTCTGCTGCTACATATGCATCCGTATCTGTATCTGTGTTTACTCAGGCACTCGTGTGCCAGTGACTTTTACTAAATTTGATTTGGCCGTCCTGCTAGAATTTAACTGCAACTTTGCGGAGCGAACGTGTCAGGAGTAAAGCGAGCAAGACGTGCACCTCGGCACACGCGAGACAAATGCGATTTAAAGTAATTTGAATACCGAATGGATTGTATACACTTATCAACACACACTCGCATTCGTTTTTCCAGGCACTTTTAACATCGACATTTGCACACACAGGGGGAAAATATGACTTGTTCATTGAATGTGTGGCATGTGTGTGTATTTGGCATATCAGTATATAGTTTTTCTTCTATACCTATGCTATTTGAATGAGAGTTATAAGTTTCTTTTAATGCTATTGAAGTTCATTTTATTTATTATACTTTATACTTCACTTTGACTAGCTAACTACTTAAATAGGGTTAAATATTCATGATTTTATTTTAGTTAAATGATTTGTAAATATTTATCACTCATCTTTCCTATTAAGGCTTATGTAATATTTATAATAATTATTCTTGTATTCTTTCTAATCGAAACGGAGTGCAATACTTAATAATCTTTTCTTTCCGTGCAAGGAGGAGGAATCAAGTTTGGCCGGAGGAGATGTTAGTTTGGCGAACTGCCAGGGCTAAACATCCATGCCAAGCCAAGCGGAGAGCATCAATTGTCTATTTGACCATGGTGAACTGGGGGCCAAATGGTCGGGGCATTGGGAGCCCAACCCGACAGGAGCTCCTCCACTTCGACCCTCCAATCTGCAGCATCGATGTAACGCTGCGTTATTGAAATCGCCCAAGCAGCAAAAGTGTTTGAGTGCACTCAAGCGAACACCTGCACTCCAATTCGCATTCGCACTCGCACTCGCTTTTACACCCACACGTGCGAGCTTAACTCAACCGAATGGCATTTATGTATAACCGTGACTGTTAGCGGCAATGGCATTTTTATTTGCATTAGCATACCTAGCCGGGCAGTTAATTAACGCGCGCACTGCCGCAAAAAGTCCACGCATTTGCATATTACAAATTAAGGTAAAAAATCAAGAGCCGACCATTTTATGCTAAATTAACTGCCAATCAGACTGAAACGTTTCGTGCATATTGTTTTGATTTGTTTTTAAAAGACTTTATTGGCTTGTTGTCCTACTTTATGGCAGTCAGTATTCTCTTGATTTCTGCCGAATCAGATTCGATTTCGTGTTTATAATTAAGGATAAATGAACAAAAAGCCGTTTTTCCAATAATTTCTTGCTGGCATCGACAGAAACAAACGACGTGGTTAAAAAGTTAAAAGTAGTATCAGTTTTCGCCAAA